CAAGGCCTGATGGAGAATGCGTGTGATGAATTGTCAGAATCAGGCTTCAGAAGGTGGATAATAAGAAACTTCTGGGCCAGGCGCAGTGGCTCAAGCCTGTAATCCCAGCACTTTGGGAGGCCGAGGTGGGTGGATCATGAGGTCAAGAGATGGAGACCATCCTGGTTAACATGGTGAAACCCCATCTCTACTAAAAATACAAAAGATTAGCTGGGCATGGTGGCACATGCCTGTAATCCCAGCTACTCAGGAGGCTGAGGCAGGAGAATTGCCTGAACCCAGGAGGCAGAGGTTGCGGTGAGCCGAGATTGTGCCATTGCACTCCAGTCTGGGTAACAAAAGCAAAACTCTTGTCTAAAAAAAAGAAAAAAAAAAAACCAGAAAAAAAGAAACTTCTATGAGCTGAAAAAACATGTTCTAATCCAATGCAACGAAACTAAGAACCTCAAAAAAGGGTTTGACGAAATGCTAACGAGATAGACAATTTAGAGAAGAATATAAGTGAATTAATGGAGCTGAAAAACACAACTTGAGAACTTCGTGGAGTATGCACAAGTTTCCCTTTTTTTTTTTTTTTTTGAGACAGAGTTTTGCTTTTGTTACCCAGGATGGAGTACAATGGCTTGATCTCAGCTTACCGAAACCTCTGCCTCCTGGGTTCAAGCAAGTCTCCTGCCTCAGCCTCCCGAGTAGCTGGGACTACGGGCATGCACTACCATGCCCAGCTAATTTTTGTATTTTTTAGTAGAGACAGGGTTTCACCATGTTGACCAGGATGGTCTCAATCTCTTGACTTCATGATCTACCCATCTCGGCCTCCCAAAGTGCTGGGATTATAGGCGTGAGCCACCACACCCAGCTGTATGCAAGAGTTTTAACTGTTGAATTGATCAAGCAGAAGAAAGGATATCAGAGGTCAAAAACCAGCTCAATGAAATAAAATGAGAAGACAAGATTAGAGAAAAAAGGATAAAAAGGAATGAGCAAAGTCTCCAAGAAATATGGGACTATGTGATAGGTGTACCTAAATGTGACAAAGAGAATGAATCCAAGCTGGAAAATATTCTTCAGGATATTATCCAGGAAGGACAATATCCAACCCCAGGTAATACAGAGAACACCACAAAGATATTCCTCAAGAGCAACCCCAAGGCACATAATTGTCAGATTCACCAGGGTTGAAATGAAGGAGAAAATGCTAAGGGCAGCCAGAGACAAAGGTCAGGTTACCCATAAAGGGAAGCCTATCACACTCACAGCAGATCTCTCAGCAGAAACCCTACAAGCCAGAAGAGAGTGGGGGCCAATATTCAACATCCTCAAAGAACAGAACCTTCAGCCCAGAATTTCATATCCAGCCAAACTGAGCTTCACAAGCGAAGGAAAAATAAAATCTTTTGTGAACAAGCAAGTACTCAGAGATTTTATTACCACCAGGCCCGCTTTACAAGAGCTTCTGAAAGAAGCATTACACATAGAAAGGAACAACCAGTATCAGCCTTTCCAAAAATACACCAAAAAGTAAAGAGCATCAACATAACGAAGAATTTACATCAACTAATGGGCAAAACAGCCAGCTAGCATCAAATGGCAGTATTAAACTTACATATATTATTATTAATCCTAAATTTAAATCAACGAAATCCCCCAATCAAAAGAAACAGACAGGCAAATTGGATAAAAAGCCAAAACCCATTTGTATGCTGCATCCAGACCCATCTCACATGCTAGGATACACAAAGACTCAAAACAAAGGGATGGAGGAAGATTTACCAACCAAATGGAGAGCAAAAATAAATAAATAAATAAAAAGCAGGAGTTGCAATTCTCGCCTCTGATAAAATAGACTTTAAAGCAACAAAGATCAAAAGAGGCAAAGAAGGACATTACATAATGGTAAAAGGATCAATGCAACAAGAAGAGCTATCGATCCTAAATATTACGCACCCAATACAGGAGCACCCAGATACATAAGACAAGTTCTTAATGACTTATAAAGAGACTTAGACTCCCACAAAATAATAGTGGGAGACTTTAACATCACATTGTCAATATTAGATCAACGAGACAGAAAATTAACAAGGATATCCAGGACTTGAACTCAGACCCGGAACAAGTAAACCTAAGAAACATTATAGAACTCTCCACCCCAAATACACAAAACATACATTCTTATCAGTACCACATCACACCTACTCTAAAAGTGACTACATAACTGGAAGTAAATCACTCCTCAGCAATTGCATAGCATTTCACAGGTTTAAATGAAATATTGGTTGGCTGCTTGTTTGTTATTTTCCTCCCTTATTCCTCCCCGTCTTTATTGTTAAGCACAATTATTGGCATAAAAGAGGTTTTCAGTACCCATTTTTAGACTGCATTCTAGCCTGGGCAATAGGGCAAGATTCCTGTTCTCTCTCCCTCTTTTTCTCTTTCATTCTTATTTTTATTCTTTTTTTCTGTCTTTCTTCCTTTCTTTTTTCCTCTAAAAAAAAAAGAGAGAGACTTTAATATACAGTAGGATGAACCCCTGGACTTCCACATCCAGGAAAATGGAGCAGATGTACTTTTCCCTATTTCTCCTGCTAAGTAAAACTAAGAACCTTTGACACTGTATTTAAAATAAGAATAAGAGGCCAGGCACAGTGGCTCACACCTGTAATCCCAGCACCTTGGGAGGCCAAGGCGGGCAGATTACAAGGTCAGGAGTTCAAGACCAGCCTGACCAACATGGTGAAACCCTCATCTCTACCAAAAATACAAAAATTAGCTGGGCATGTTGGCACATGCTTATAATCCCAGCTACTCAGGAGACTGAGGCAGGAGAATTGCTTGAACCCAGGAGGCGGAGGTTGCGGTGAGCCGACATGTAGCCACTGCACTCCAGCCTGGACGACAGAGGGAGACTCCATCCCAAAAATAAATAAATAAAATAAGAATAAGAAAACTCAGGCTGGGCATGGTAGCTCACGCCTATAGTCCTAGCACTTTGGGAGGCTGAGGCAGGCAGATCTCTTGAGGCCAGGAGTTTGAGAGCAGCCTGGCCAACACGACAAAACCCTGTATCTACCAAAAATACAAAAATTAGCTGGGCATGGGGGCTTATGCCTGTGATCCCAGCTGCTCAGGAGGCTGAGGCATGAGAATCACTTGAACCCAGGAGGCAGAGGTGGTAGTGAGCCAAGATCGTGCCATTGTGAGACCCTGTCTCAAGGAACTTGAGACTCAAGGAACTCTGTAGTTCCTTGACCATTGGGCTCCAGCAGAAGTGATGCTTTTTGTCTTCTGAAGCTGGGTCATAAAAAGACAATGCAGGCCAGATGCAGTAGCTCCCACCACTTTGGGAGGCCAAGGAGGGCAGATCACCTGAGGTCAGGAATTTGAGACCATCCTGGCCAACATGGTGAAACCCCATCTCTTCTAAAAATACAAAAAAAAAAAAAAAAAAAAAAAAAAAGCCAGGTGTTGGCATACACCTCTAATCCCAGCTACTTGGGTGGCTGAGGCATGAGAATCCTTGAACCCAGGAGGCAGAAGTTGCAATGAGCCAAGATCACACCAGTGCACTCCAGCCTGGGTGACAGAGCAAGACTCTATCTAAAAAAAAAAGACAAGGCACTTCCCCTTTGCTCTCCTGGGACCCTTGCTCTTGGAACACAGCCACCATGGTGCGTGTTTGTTTCTTGAGACAGTCTTGCTCTGTTGCTAGGCTGGAGTGCAGTGGCACGATCTTGGTTCACTGCAACCTCTGCCTCCTGGGTTCAAGCGATTCTCCTGTCTCAGCCTCCCTAGTAATTGGGACTACAGGCGTGTGCCACCACGCGCTGCTAATTTTTGAATTTTGAGTAGAGACGGGGTTTCACTGTGTTGGCCAGGATGGTCTCAATCTCTTGACTTCGTGATCTGCCCGCCTTGACCTCCCAAAGTGCACCACATTCCACCAGCCACGGTGCCCGGTCCCCAGCCACCATGTTTTAAGAAATACCAAACTAGTCCACACCAAGAGACCAGGGAGGGAGACCATAAGAAGTGTTCCAGTTCATCTTAGGTCCACCTGCGCTCCCAGCATCAAGCACCAGATATGTGAGTGAAAACACCTCCAGCCAATCCTGGCCACAGCCCTTGAGTGTTTCCAGCTGAGGCCCCAGATGTTCTAGAGCGGAAGCAAGTGGTTTTCACTATACCTGGCCCGAATCCCTGATTCACAGACTCTCTGAGCACAATGAAATAATTGTTTTTTGCCATTCTGTTTTGGGGTGAAATTGTAAGTGGAACACCATGGCCAGTGCAATGTGGTGCAGTTTTGTGCGTGCTTGTTTTCAGCCTTGAGTGTCCCCACCCATCCCTCTGCCCCACCAAAGTCTCAGACTTCTGCCATGAGAACATGCCCTAGGAGTCCACTGGTCCCAGAACAAACAGACACACAGAATAAACCTCAGTCCAAGTTTTTGTTTATTTTTTTCTGAGACAGAGACTCCCTCTGTCACCCAGGCTAGAGCGGAGTAGCACAATCTCGGCTTACTGCAACATCCACCTCCCCAGTTCACGCGATTCTTGTGTCAGCCTCCCAAGTAGCTGGGAATATAAGCATGCGCCAACACGTCCAACTAATTTTTGTGTTTTTAGTAGAGACGGAGTTTCTCCATGTTGGCTGGGCTGGTCTCGAACACCTGACCTCAAGTAATCTGCCCGCCTTGGCCTCCCAAAGTGCTGGGATTACAGGTGTGAACCACCGTGCCCAGCCTAAGTCCAACTATTATGGTCTGAATTGTGTCCCCCAAATTCATACAAGGATGTTCTAACCCCAGCACCTCAGAATGGGACTGCATTTGGAGACAAGACCTTTTATTATTATTTTTATTATTTATTTATTTTGAGACCAAGTTTTGCTCTTCTTGCCCAGGCTGGAGTGCAGTGGCACGGTGAGGCAGAGGGTGCGGTGAGCCGACTGTGCCACTGCACTCCAGCCTGGGATACAGAGTGAAAAAGAGGGAGGGAGGGAGGGAGGGACGGAGAGAGAGAGAGAGAGAGAGAGAGAGAGGAGGTAAGGAGGGAGGAATCAGACAGAAGAAGGTGGAAGGACTAGACTGGCTAAATCTTCTGGCCCCCATCTTTCTCCTGTGCTGGATGCTTCCTGCCCTCGAACATCAGACTCTTAAGTTCTTCAGCTTCTGGACTCTTGGACTTACACCAGTGATTTGCCAGGGCCTCTCGGGCCTTCAACCACAGACTAAAGGCTGCACTATCATCTGCCCTACTTTTGAGGTCTGGGGACTCAGACTGGTTTCTCGCCCCTCAGCTTGCAGACGGTCTATTGTGGGACTTCACCTTGTGATCCTGAGTCGATTCTCCTTAATAAACTCCCTTTCATATATACAGCTATCCTATTAGTCCTGCCCCTCTAGAGAACCCTGACTAACACACTAGGGATGCGTTAATGTTGCCCAATACAGGACTCCTCTAGTGGGCATTACTTGCTCTGGGACTTCCCACTGACCTAGCGAAGGCTTTCTGAAAGATGCTGGGCCAGTCATCAATGTGCTACCGCTCAGCTCCAGATACGTTCTGCTCTGCACGCTGGAGATGAACTGTGCTCCTTTGCAGTGAGATGCTGAGCTTTGACAGGAGTCAGTGCTGGAAGATACTTTCAGGAGGAGAGGAGGTTTCTGTGTGTACGTGTATGTCTGTGCACACACACACGCACACGCTGTTCTTGCTGCTGTGTCATGGTTGCTTAGCCGTGAGCCCAGTGTGCATAGCCTAGACCAACACTGCAGCCCTCAGGCCTGGGGACCATCTTCCAGCAATTCTGCTGATGCAGATGCCTTAAGTTTTAGGCCTCACATCTGTAAATGTGCCCCAATTCTACCTGCCCACAAGTCTCAGCTCCCTTGGCCGTCTGAGGGTTGTTCCTGCTTACCCGGTGACTATGGACCAGCTCTGCCTATAGGCAACCCCCCGACTTCTTGCCATCCAGTGGGCTGCAACCAACCACACCTTCTCCAGTGAGGGCTGAACCCCACTTGGGGAGGGCACCCCCTTCTAGCTGTATCTTTCCTTGGGGACTCTCCTTGGATACCTTTTAAAGGTCTCTTTGCATCTTTATTTTTGTTTTGATCTTTTTGAGACAAGGTTTTGCTCTGTTGCTCAGACTGTAGTGCAGTGGCAAGATCTTGGCTCACTGAAGACGCCACCTCCTGAGTTCAAGCGAGTCTTCTGCCTCAGCCTCCCTAGTAGCTGGGGTTACAGGGTGTGCCACCAAGCCTGGCTAATTTTTGTATTTTTAGTAGAGACTGGGTTTCCATGTTGGCCAAGCTGGTCTTGTACTCCTGACCTTGGGTGATCTGCCCACCTCAGTCTCCCAAAGTGCTGGGATTACAGATATGATCCACACACCCGGCCTTTGCGTCTTTATAGTTACTCTCCTGTGTCACATTAATAATTTTTTAATATTAAAAAACCCCTGTTCAAATTGCTTTATGGTTTCTGTCTCCTGATGGGACTCAGTGATCTGGAGGCCGTGAAGTCTGTTTTTTCCTGTGCAGTTCTTCCCTTCCCTTCTTCCACGGGTGTCCGACTTGCCCTGCAGTCTGAAGCTTCTCCCAGCCTACTCCTGCTTCCTCTCTCATCTCTCACAGGCATTACCTGCAAAACATCTCTTCACATGGTTAATTCCTTCTTGGCAGTTGCTTCTCAAAGAACCCAAATGGACGGCCAGGCACAGCGGCTCACACCTGTAATCCCAGTACTTTGGGAGGCCAAGACGTGTGGATCACCTGAGAAGTTTGAGACCAGCCTGACCAACATGGAGAAACGCTGTCTGTACTAAAAATACAAAAAAATTAACTAGGCATGGTGGCACATCCCTGTAATCCCAGCTACTCAGGAGGCTGAGGTAGGAGAATCTCTTGAACCCGAGAGGCAGAGGTTGCTATAAGCTGAGAGCACACCATTGTACTCCAGCCTGGGCAAAAAGAGCGAAACGCTGTCTCAAAAAACAAACAAAAAAAAAAAGAAGAAGAAGAACCCAGAGGGACACAGGTTCCCACCACACTTAGAATAAAATCCCCTGCAAGAAGCAGCTTCTCCGCTCCTCCTGGAATCTCTCCCTGGTTCAGCCCGCCTGCCTCCACTCCTGCCTCCACCATGTCCATCAGGGTGACCCAGAAGTCCTACAAGGTGTCCACCTCTGGCCCCGGGGCCTTCAGCAGCCGCTCCTGCATGAGTGGGCCCAGTGCCCACTTGAGCTCCTCGAGCTTCTCCCGAGTGAGCAGCAGTGGCTTCCGGGGTGGCCTGGGTGCAGGTTATGCTGGGGCCAGCGGCATAGGCATGGGAGGCATCACCGCCGTCACCATCAGCCAGAGCCTACTGAACCCCATTAAGGTGGATGTGGACCCCAACATCCAGGCCGTGGGTACCCAGGAGAAGGAGCAGATCAAGACCCTCAACAACAAGTTTGCTTCCTTCATGGACAAGGTGCGGTTCCTGGAGCAGCAGAACAAGATGCTGGAGACCAAGTGGAGCCTCCTGCAGCAGGAGAAAACGGCTCGGAGCAACATGGACAGCATGTGTGAGAACCACATCAGCAACCTGAGGCGGCAGCTGGAGACTCTGGGCCAGGAGAAGCTGAAGCTGGAGGCGGAGCTTGGCAACATGCAGGGGCTGGTGGAGGACTTCAAGAACAAGTATGAGGAAGAGATCAATAAGCGTACAGAGATGGAGAATGAATTTGTCCTCAAGAAGGATGTGGATGAAGCTTACATGAACAAGATGGAGCTGGAGTCTCGCCTGGAAGGACTGACTGATGAGATCAACTTCCTCAGGCAGCTGTATGAAGAGGAGATCCGGGAGCTGCAGTCCCAGATCTCCGACACGTCTGTGGTGCTGTCCATGGACAACAGCCGCTCCTGGACATGGACAGCACCATCGCTGGGGTCAAGGTGCAGTAGGAGGAGATCGCCAACCGCAGCTGGGCTCAAGCGGAGAGCGTGTACCAGATCAAGTATGAGGAGCTGCAGAGGCTGGCTGGGAAGCACGGGCACGACCTGCGGCATACGAAGACTTAAATCTCCGAGATGAACCGGAACATCAGCCGGCTCCAGGCTGAGATCAAGGGCCTCAAAGGCCAGAGGTCTTCCCTAGAGACCACCATTGTTGAGGCTGACCGTCGCGGGGAGCTGGCACTCAAGGATGCTCATGCCAAGCAAAAGGAGCTGGAGGCCGCCCTGCAGCAGGCCAAGCAGGGCATGGCACAGCAGCTTCGTGAGTACCAGGAGCTGATGAACGTCAAACTGGCCCTGGACATCGAGATCGCCACTTACCGCAAGGTGAGGAGAGCCGGCTGGAGTCCAGGATACAGAACATGAGTATCCATACAAAGACCACCAGCGGCTATGCAGGTGGTCTGAGCTCTGCCTGTGGGGGCCTCACAAGCCCCGGCCTCAGCTACGGCCTGGGCTCCAGCTTTGGCTCTGTCACGGGCTCCAGCTCCTTCAGCCGCACCAGCTCCACCAAGGCTGTGGTTGTGAAGAAGATTGAGACCCGCGATGCGAGGCTGGTGTCCGAGTCCTCTGACGTCCTGCCCAAGTGAACAGCTGCAACAGCCCCTTCCAGCCTGCCCCTCCTGAGGCTGCCCCAGAGCCCAGGAGGGAGGCTGCTGTACAGGGGAGCACAGGGAACAGGAGACCCACCTGATGCTCAGCCCTAGCCTTCAGCCCACCCTCGGGGAGTTTACTGCCTGGGGACCCCCCTTGCTCATGCCGCCAGCTGCAAAACAATTCAATTGCTTTTTTTTTTTGGTCCAAAATAAAATCTCAGCTAGCTCGGGGAAAAAAAAAAATCCTCCAGCACTTTGAGAGGCTGAGGCAGGAGGATCACTTGAGGCCAGGAGTTCCAGACCAGCCTGGGCACCTAGCACTTTGAGAGGCCAAGGCACGAGACGGGCAAATGAAGTGCCACCTCTTCCTAGAGGCCTTCACCTGTCACCCCCCAATCCCCTTTAGCCTGTCCCCTCATGCTGCTTCATTTTGTTTCTTCGTGGCACTTATTACCATGTAACAAACAACTTACTACTCTTATTTTTTCATTTTTCTATCTCCCTGCATAGAGGAATGTCTCCTCCATGAGGTCAAGGTCTTTGCCTGCCTTGTTCACTGCTGCATCCCCGGGGCCTGGATTAGAACCTGGCACACAGTAGGTGCTCAATAAATATTTGTTAATTAGCTGAATAAAAGAGTATCCTCACCTTTGATTAAGCCACTTCCTCTACCCCAATGCCTTCCCTTCTTCTTGCCTTTCCTAATCCTACCTAAGCTTTGGCCGTAGCCCCTCCACTCCTCCAGGAAGCCCTCCCTGACTATCTGAGTTCTAAGCCCTTCTTGCCCCTCACCTGTTACCATGCTTAATTTTAGGTGCCAGGTAAAGTCTGAAGTGGAGGTTAGAGGCAGAAAAGAACAAACCAGCTTTATTGGGTTAAGGGCAAGGGAGGGGAGAGGAGGGGCTGCCAGAGGCTCCCAGCCAGGGTGGAGCCACTGGGAGACAGCTGGGGATGCAAGTCACTTCTTCCACTCCTTCTTCTCGTAGTCCCAGTGGGAGGCCAGGCCGTGCACAGGATTGACCTTCATGTCCAGCATGCGCTGCAGCTGCTGGGCTTTCCACTCATCCGTCAAGGTGATAGGCTTTGGAGGATATACTGCAGGGAGTGCATGGGGTGGGGGAACAAGGGTGGCTCAGGATCCTGCCAGCCTTTCTCCACCAGCCAGGGTCTCTAGCCACAGGGTTGGGGTATCTTGCACTGAGGAGCTCCCTCCACCCTGTCTAGCCCCGCACCAGACTCTCTCCTAAAGCTTCATCCAGGCACCGCTGGGTTCTGATCCCAGCTTTGCCTTAGACTCCAAGGACTGTGGGTGCTGGGCCAACGTCCCTCCCAACTCAGTCGCCCCACCTACCTCTGTGGCCCGTGGTAATAAGAGCACTGATTTGAAGACTGCAAATCCCAGCTCCACCACTCCCTTGCTCTGTGACCTTCAACAAGTCACTTCACCTCTCTGAGCCTGTTTCCTTACCTGTCAAAAGCAGGTCCTATCCACTAGGATTGTGGGGACTGAGTATTTCTAAAGCTGTCGGCACAATGTTAGCTGTTGGCACATGTATCCCAAGCACCCGATACATGTTACCTACTGTAATTATATAACTACTGAGTTTGTTCCCACTCACTGTGCAGGGTCCAGGACGAAACAGTTCTTTATACTTTCTAAGGGGGTTGAAAGTAGGAAGTAAGTAAGACTGTTCACTTTAAAAATATGGTAACAGGCTGGGCACAGTGGCTTACACCTGTAATCCCAGCACTTTGGGATGCCGAGGTGGGTGGATCACGAGGTAAAGAGTTTAAGACCAGCCTGGCCAACATGGTGCAACCCCATCTCTACTAAGAATACAAAAATTACCTGAGTGTGGTGGTGGGCACCTGTAATCCCAGCAACTTGGGAGGCTGAGGCAGGAGAATTGCTTGAACCCGGGAGGCAGAGGTTGCAGTGAGCTGAGATTGTGCCACTGCACTCCAGCCTGGGTGACAGAGCAAGACTCCTTCTCAAAAATCTATATACATATATCCCTTCCAAGATGCACAGGAGGTGTTGAGCCTTCCACTGGTCCACCAGAGGGATGGGCAGTTAAAATAAAAATTGTTGGAATCTATCCCCAGGGTGTCTGACTAGTGGGGGTGAGAATGTGCATTTCTAGCAAGTTCCTAGGTGGTGCTTATTGGTACACAGAGAACACTTTGAGAACCACTCTTCAGAGGTAATAAAAGTTTAGCTGTACGTGTAACTACCCAGCTAAAGACTACATTTCCCAGCTTCCCTTGTAGCCAGATGTGGTCATGTGATCATTTCTCAGCCTATACCATGTAAGGAGAAGTGGTATGAGCAACTTCTAGGCCTCAAAGAGGAGCGTATCTTCCCTTTCCCTCTTTTCCTTGGCTGGAATATAGGCTTGATGGCAGTAGCTGGAGCAGCCATCTTGCGTGTCAAGGATGCAGAGCAACAAAACAGAAGGAGCCTGCATTGAGGAGTCCCTACATTTGTCTGGATTGCATCTCTGCATTTTGTTGTGAGAAAGCAATACACCACTATCTCATTTAAGCTCCCGTAAGTTGGGGACTCTTTGTTACAGCAGCTGAAACAATATACTGAAAAACAGCCCACGCATGGTGGCTCATGTCTGTAATCTTAGCCTTTGGGAGTCCAAAGAGGGTAGATCACTTGAGGCCAGGAGTTCAAGACCAGTGTGGTGAAGCCTCATCTCTACTAACAATACAAAAATTAGCCAGGTGTGGTGGTGCACTCCTGTAGTCTCAGCTACACAGGAGGCTAAGGCAGGGGAATCACTTGAACTTGGGAGACAGAGGTTCAGTATGTGTGTGTGTGTATATATATATATATATACACACTGAAAAACACACAGTTCATACACAACAATCTAACACCACCATTCATGACTATGAGCCAAACACTGACCTACAACCCTCTCTCATTAAATCCTCTTAAGTACCCTGAGATGAACCATTACTATTCCCATCTTACAGATGAGGAAACTGAGGCCTAGAGAGGTAGCATTCCTATATTCAAACCTAGACAGCCATGCTCTGCCCTTCACCCTACACCTCTTCAGGAAATTTTCAACTCTTCAGACGAGTGCCAGAATGGTTCCTTTAAGAAACTGGTTGGTGGCTGTGACCACAAGGGCACAGCCCAGGACTGCTGCCAGATGAGGTGTTGCCACTCACCGTAGACCCGCTGCCACCAAATCAGCAGAGCTGTGAATCCACAGAAGAAGAAGACACAGCCCATCACTGTCTTCCACTCATTGGAGCGACGGTTCATCTCCGCAAAGGTCTGATGGTACTGGAGCCGGTACAC